AGCACTGTCCTGTCCCAACACTGGTCATTACCCTCCCTTCCTTCCACACAGTCCCAGCATCCTGGATCCACCAGCACCCCGAGCTGCTCCTGCTGACGGTGAGCCAAGAGCAGCCCTGGGGATGTGAAGGGCTGTGATGTTTGGGAACAGACACAACCTGTGTCACCCAAACCTCTTTCAGCACCACACACTTCCCAGGCACAACAGCAGCTGTCTCATGGGTGCAGCACTTGCGTCCTCCAAAGTCTTACCAGAGTCACAGAGAACGGGGCTGGAAGGAAACACAGACATCACTGAACATCCTCCCTTCTAAAGCAGAGCTGGCACAGTGACAAGGTGAGTTTGGAGAGACCTAAAACCATCACTGGCTGTACCTCAGTGTGTGCCTCAATTTGCAGCTTCTTCGGGGCTGCAAAGGACATGGCAGCTTCTTGAGAACACACAGCACCCTTGAGCAAGACAAGAAGGGAAAACATCGTCTATTTTAGCCTGAAACCACAAGAAAAACAGAGATAGTCAAAAAGAATGAGCCATTTCATCAGGAAACATGAGTTAGCTGTGCAGGTCCATGAAAAATACCAAGGGTCTTTCACTAACCACACAAGGTCAGGATGTGGGGATTATATCTTGTCTGAACAATAAAACTTCTAGTGAGATTTTTTAAAAGGAGTTTATGTTTGATGATGTTTGATACCAAAAATAAACTCCCAGAGGATCCTAATGTTTGATACGTGATGATTTCTGACACTGTTTTCCAAATAATAATGGAAAACCTCATCTGGCTGAAGTTTCCATGCTTTGTTTTACAAAAGTCTTATTCCTTGAGTTATCTGAATGTTTAACTTAGGGGGACAGTTATGAATTGCTCTTGTCTGGACTGCAGAGAAAAAAAAAATCCCACAGAAGTACTGCCCAGGGTTTGATGGGTTTAATATGCCTCTTAAGTAAAAGTGCTGTCCTTTCACAACAGCTGGTGCAAGGCTGGGCTGTGCTAATGAGAAGCCCCTCAGTCTGAAGGATGAGCTCTCTCTGTAGTTTTGGCCAAGTCGAGCCTTTCCTTTGCTGGGATGCTCCATTTGCTCCTCATGTAACCGCTCAGCTCCTGCCTCTTGGCAACGTCGGACTTTGAGACCAAAACCAGCCCTAAGTCCCATTTGTCAGTGTTTCTTTCTAATGAAACCCACTTAAAAGTGCCTGGGGAGTGGTGCAGAATGCCCAGAACCAGGCACCATTCCCCTTTCTCCTTTGGCCAGGGCAATGCCCAGCTCCTGCCTCGCTGGCCTGGCCACCGTGGCTGGGACCTCGGAGGGGTCAGCTGGTCCCAGATGAAGCTGAGGTTTCTGGTGCAGTTGCCTGGCCATCAGAAACTGGACAGCAGCCCTGAATTCTTTTCCTGCAAGTCACTTGGACAGGCACCAGATGGTAAATACTTTCAGTCTCTCCATCCCGGCTCTGGGGTGGGAGCAGTGACCTCAAGGTAAAAGACTGCCTGGCCTGTCCCTTGTCCCTCAGGGTGGCTGGTCCTTCCAGCCTGGCTCTGCTGTCCAGTTAAGGTGTGAGAACCAGAGGGAATAAAAATGCCCAGACAGAGCTGGAAATAGCCATCACCACCTCTCTCGGCTCTTGCTGTTTGAAACTGGAGCCAGATTCATTCTGGGTAGGAAACAACCTTCCCATCCTGCCAAAAGCAGAGATATTTCAAAATTCCCCAAAGCCATGGTGTTTCCAGAAGTCTCATGAAAAACATCCAGCAGCCACCCTAAAGTGTCCAACAGCCGAGGGAGACCTGAGGCACCTCCCTTTCAGCTCAGGGCTCTTGGCTTTGCCAAGCTGGATGTCTGTCCAGCTTTGCCACCGGTGATGTCCATGCTCCACGGACAGCCCTGCTCCTCTGCAGCGGGGAGTTGAGGCAGGAGTGCCCAGAAGCAAAGGAAATGTCCTCCCCACCAAGGTGTGGAGCTGGGCTCACCCCAGACCCATGATTTCACTGCTGATGTGAGGGTAAACAGACCCAGCCAGGACCCAGGACAGCCCCAGTGGGAGATGGACATGCAGACAGCAGTCTGAGTTCAGACAGCTCTAGGGAGGGGGTTCCACACACAAAATAGAGTAAAGAAGAGGAGCCTTGAGCAAAGGAAAGGGATGGAACAAGAATATGGTTTGGGATACTCATCCCAGATGGATGCAGTTTCAGCTGAGCAAGGTGTGCAAAAATGAGAGCTTTGCCCTGTTATTCATGATGGCACGTTGAATGGCAAACATATGAAAAAACTCAGCTCTCTAAAATGTAAATTCACTGGGGCAGTTCCTTCATTTCTATAGAAACAGCAGAGCTTGCCAGCGGCTAACTCAAAGGAGATGTATTCAGATCCCTGTATCAACTATTTTCTTGCACAACTGACCACAAAAAAAAAAAAATTACAATCCCCCAAAAAAACCTGACAATAATACCATGGAAACTGTGGAGCAAAACATATGGACTTAATTACCAGCTCTGAAATCACACGTATGGTACAGAACACATATGGAGTATGTGCTCCAGAGGGTATTTATAACATGGACTGCTAATGTGCTGTTCTGGTGCAGCTTTGCAAATCAAAATCTGAGCAGGGGCTGTATTCCTGTGCCAGGCTCTGCCTGCAGCCCCTGCAGCACCAGCACAGTGACCTGGGCAGGCATGTGGGACACAGAGAGACCGGAGCAGGGATGCTCAAGCCCATGTCACCCATGGAAAAGCCTCTTTGGGAAGGCAGATCGTGGCAGACTTTGTGGATACCCCTCCAGCTGGCTCCACTGGGCACCTCCAAAACCCAGCAAGGTACCACCAAGGATTGCCAATGCCATTGGAAGCGTGGGCAGCTGGCCAGGCACGGGATGGTGGGTTTGGCCCCATCTGGTTGCTTGATTCTGACTTGACTCAGGCTTGACTTGGGCTCTCTGTCACTGCCTGAGCTCTGACAGCTTCCTGGTGATGTCACAGCATCGCAGAGATGTCACCTTACTGCACCTAAACCTCAGTGACATCAGGTGTGGGGGGGAAGCCATGTCCCCTCTTGTCCAGAGCTGAGGGAGAAGGTGGAGAAGGGATCCCCACCCCAAGGAGCCAAACCTGCACCCAGGATACATCAGCTGTCAGGGTTGTAATCGCCAGTGGGTTCCTCTGAGCAGCCCTGAGCCTCAGCCTCCCCCACGGGTGCCCTGCTGCCCCCTGAGACCTCACACAGGGCTCTGTTGGCTGCTCACAGAGTCACTCACTGTGGGCAACGAGAGGTTTTTATTTCTGTCTCCAGCGCTGTCACCTGATTTCTAACTGGGAAATGAACTCCTGCCCATTAATCAGGAGTCCCTAATAAACACAAGCCTGGAATAACTAACTGAGCTGCCTGTCCCCCTGCAGCAAGGCTGGCTCAGTGCTCTGGCTGCTCCTGGGCCACGCTGGGATGTCTGTCCGAGCTGCAGCCAGCAGGAAGGCACCGGCCCTGGAGCAGAAAGCAGCAGCACGAGATGAGATCCAGCCTTCAGTATCAAACCTGTGGGGCTGTGAGCACCTGTCAGCGGGGACTGACCCCCCTGCTAGTGAGTTCAGAGCGATGTGCCATCCTCGTGCCTCCTCTGCCACAGGCAGGGCTGCCAGTGCAGGTCAGACCTCCGGGCATGGCTTGGGTGATGCAGGGAACTGGGGCTCCAATGTGTGGAGGCTCCAGCGCTGGGGGAAGTGACAGCAGCCTTTGGAAGGAGGCTTGGTGTTCCCTCAGGCTGCCATGAGCTCGTTAACAGCCTGACTGCAGCTAACGAAGCAAAACCAAAGCGGGGAATTGGGGTAGTAATGGGAGAGCTCTGTCTGTGCTCCTCCCTGCCGGGCTCTGCCCTCCCTGATCCATGCCCCGGCTTCCAGGGTCTGGCAAGTGCAGAGCCGAGGTCGGGATTGCTGCTCAGGTGACTGAGAACCTGTTTCACAAAAGCAACAGGAAGGGAAAAGAGGCGGGTGCAGGAGAGGAGCCAGGGAGAGCTGCAGGGCATCCTTACACTCAGGCCTTTCCTCTGAGCTTTGAGCTCACAAAGTCCCCTCTTATATCTCCTGATAAGATCTGGGGAACAGAAACATGGAGAAGGGGCTCTGATTCCTGGAGGTCTTGAAATGCTTAGGTTTTTCTTTCCCAAGAGCCAGCCTCATGTCCCCAGACACAGCAGCCAAGAGGAAAACTTGCCCAGGGCAGACTGAGAAAGCATTGGGAGACAACAACTGAGCACCTACTTCTTTTCCCCAAACTTGGACTTTTAATTCTCACAACTACTTAAGATGATCATAATAATTCAGAGGCTCAATTTGGATTTACAAGGCTTGTAATCAGCAGAGCCAGACTGCAGCTTTCCCTGCATCACATACCCTGGACAATGCAACACAAGGTACATCCAACCCTCCCACCCAGCAGCCTTCCCAGGTGGCTGCAGCCCCACTGAGGACAGGGATGATGTGGCAGCACATCACAACCACCACAGCAAATCCCTTTCCAGCTCTTTTCGTCATCTCACCCCTCTCCCACAGCCTGCCATGCACTGAGTTCAGCACAAAATATAGGGGTGGGTGCCCTGCTCCTGCATGGCCGTGGCATTGTCTGAGGGCAGCACAGGGACAGCCCTGTCAATCCCTCCAAATCCCAGGAGGAAGATTCTGGCTCTGCTTGGGCAGACCTTGATCAGTATTAGGACGAGGCATAAATCTTCCCTCCCAGTCATGGCCAGCAGCAGTAGATGGATCACCCCACCAGCCTGGTTCCCCAGCCCCTCTCCCCTGCTCCCCAGGGACAGCACAGTGTGCCTTCCCTTCGCTCACTGTCTCGGTGGAAGCACATTCTCACCTTGAGGAGAGTGGAAATGGCAGCTGGAATGTGGGCTGGAAAGAAAAAGAAAGGGAAAAAAAAAAAAAAAAGAAAATCTTGAGGCTTGTCCAAACCTATTCATGTTTATATTGGAGCCTGTGAGTGACATCAGAGCAGGGAGAGTATAAACACCAGCAGGACCTACTCCGGGCTTTAAAACCTGCGAACACACCGCTGCCTCCAAACTGCCTGGGGGGTGATGTGCTGAAGTGGCAGAGGGGAGAGCAGCATGAGGCTCCAGCTGGAGAAGCAGCTCCTCTTCCTCTCCCTCCTCTGCATCCTCTCCAAGGTAAGGGAGACGGGGCACTGGGGCAGCTTTAGCCTTACCCGTGGAGCACCCGGGTCTCGCAGGGAGGACTGGGGTGTCACCACGAGCCCGCTGGCTAATGCTGGCCAGGCTGTGTGGATGCAGTCCCACGGGGGCACAGCTCTGCTTGGGAGAGAGATTTGAGATTCAGCAGCAGGGTGTGAACGTTCATGGGCCAAAGGCTCCGCTGTGTGAGTCCCTGGAGCACACAGGAATGACAGCAATGTGCTGTTTGCTCGCTGTCCCTGCCGCTCTCTGGGCTGTGCTATGTACAGTCAGCGAGCAGCAGCTCGGCAGTAGTGGCTCCTGCAGGCTCCTCCATCCCCGCCCAGGCTCCCGAGGCAGGGGCCAAGCAGCCCTGGCATTACTCAGCTTTCCCTGCTTCTCAGGACGCTCACGCCAAGCCAATGCCTCTGACAGAATTTGGGTTGTTGTAGTGGGTTTATTATTTTTTTTTTCCTCTTGGACTCTGTGTGAAAATATTTGCCTGTGCAGAGAACAGGAATGTTGAAAAGTTCGGGGCATCTCAGCTCCAAGTTAATCAGAGCTGCTGCTTGAATCCCCACGCAGACCTTCTGCGAGCAGGGATGTCGTGGCAACGTTGTGCCTATTTGACTCCTTTCCCAGAAAGTTCAGATCTCTGATAGGAGCCACATTGTCATCTAAAGACAAGTAAATTACAAGGAGCAGAGGGAAATGCATTAATGGCTTGGCTAATCTTTCTAAAACATCGATTTGTAATAGCAACCTCCTGAAAGATGAAAAATGCCTTTGGCTGCCTGGGTAAGCTGTGACAGAGAAATTATTCTGGCCCCAGGTGCTTGTGAGAATCACTAAAGGCCCTCGTGCTGCCAGCCCAAACCTGGCCACCACAGATATTCCCTTGGTCCCTGCCACAAGTCTCTCTCTGGTTTCTGCCACATTAATAATGCTGCTCATTGACAGAACTAGAACAAGACCCAGCCCATTTTGGATATCTTTAATCTCCGCTTGCTGGCACTGACACTTCTACAGCCCCATAAAAAACATCTGAACGGCTGCAAATGGGAAACAGCACACCAGTACCTACCTTCTCTGTCTGACTGGTCATGTCAGACCTGATGTCACTGGGAGAAACTGAAAAAGAAAGGAAAATGGTATCTAAAACCCACAGGGTGTTGCTGAACCCATCGCGCTCTCAGCAGACACACCTGGACCAGCGCAGGGGTGAATGGTTTGGTTGCATGTTTGCTGCTGCACTGCATGTGCTGGCCCTGCACCCAGCAGCACGTGCATGGTGCCGAGCAGCAGGGCTGCTGGGGGGGCTTGGAGCTGCCAGAGGGCTCACAGGCACTGCCAGGCCAGGACTGGCAAGGAATTCACTTCCAAACTGCAGAGCCAGCTCTCCCGGCTGCAAGCTCAGTATGCAACAGCTCTGCCAGATATGACAGGTTGGGAGCACAGGTGCTGCCTGCAAAAGCAAGGTGTGCCAGGGTGGTTGTGCAAGCAGGATGAGCCGACGGGATAAACACCCCCCTGCCCAGGTGAACTGCTGTGGGCACATCCCTGGCAGACAACTGGCTGAGCAGGCAAAGGACTGCAGTGCACAGTCCTGCCAAAGTGATTACTCAGTCTAGCCAGGAGGGAAAACAGAAACGTGCCTATCTCCAGGCTCCTCGCCCAGTGGGCCAGGCTGGGTGAGGATCCTGCAGCCAGGGACAGGCAGAGGCTGTAGCTGGACCAGGGAGGAACGCAGTGATGTCTGCCTGGCGTCAGATCCCCACTGCCAACGTGACATCCTGTTTCTCGGCATGAATGAGAGCTGTTAAAGACTGTTTGGAGTGGGGTGCTGAGCCCTCCTCATGTGCATGCAGTCCCTGCAAAGCCCTGTCTCCAGCTGGGCACACCCACTGCCTTAGGGGCAGCCATGGGGTGAGCTGCTTTCCCTCCCTCACACTGGGCTGCTTGGGGCTGCTGAGCTCATTAAACAACCACCACTGCAAGGGATCTTCACCTTTTAGCTCCATCCTCCTCCTGTGTATTCAGAGCAGTGGTACATTTAAGACCCAATCTTGCAGAGTGCTGAGCATCCTTGGTTTTCCATAGGTACCCTTCAAAGGGGACAGCAGCTTTCCAGGCTGCTTCACCATATTCCCATGGATTTGCAGAGCCTCCCTCCACTGAAAATCTGCCCTCGTGATTGAGAGGTTACCTGTCTGTCCCAGTGATTTCCCTGACAGCCCAAACCAAGCCCTATGGAATCAGCAATGGCTTTGCCCCACAGGTGTGTGCCCAGCTGTGCCGGAGACCATGCTACTGCCCCTGGGTGCCACCCCGCTGCCCCCGCGGGTCTCCCCTGGTTCTGGATGGCTGTGGCTGCTGCAAGATCTGTGCCCGGCGCCTGGGGGAGCCCTGTGACTTCCTCCACGTCTGCGACCAGAGCCAGGGCCTCGTCTGTGACTACAGCACAGCACCGGCCAGGACAGGAGGCACCTGCAACTGTGAGCACAGGGAAGCCCCTTCCCGCCGGGGATGCCCCCATACCCCAGTTCCACCCATGGCCTCAGCTGGCTGCAGGCATCCCACAGCACTTTCAGGGAAGTGGTTTAGACTAGGAAAGCAGCTTTTCTGAGGAACTTACACATAGCTTGGCCAGGGGCTGTGCTGCAGCTGCTGCCAGTTCTTGTGCTGTTTTCTGACTGAGGATTTGGGGTGGTTTGAGTGAGGATGGGCATGGGGGTCCTAGGGATGCTGCAGTCACCCAGCCAGGATTGGAGCCTGGGGGTCCTGCAAAGAAATCTCAGAGAAACTTTGTCTAGCCTGAAAACCCTGAAGGCAGGGTCAGAGCCAAAGGGCAGGGGGGTTCCCACCAGCCAGTGAGCTGTTCCTTTGAAAAAACAGAGAGATGAGAAGGGGAGGTAGGGAAGGGGAGGAGGTTTGGTGATGAACATGCTGCTGCACACCCACGTCTGCTCCACATACCCCTCAGTCACTTCTGCGTCCCCCCCACGTCAGTCCCTTCGTGCCAGCCCCACAGTTACCCCAGCAGTCCCTCTGTCACTCTGTCCCTGACGGGCTCCCCGTCTGTCACTTCAGTCGAGGATGACGAGGAGGGCTGTGAGGTGAACGGCCGGGTCTATCGAGATGGAGAAGTTTTCCAGCCCAGCTGCAAACTCCAGTGCCGCTGCCTGGACGGGGGTTTCACCTGCATCCCGCTGTGCCAGGAGGACGTGCGGCTGCCCACCCCGGACTGCCCCTTCCCACGGCGTGTGGAGATCCCAGGGAAGTGCTGCCCTGAGTGGATCTGTGGAGCCCAGGACCAGCACCTCCTCCGGGATGCCAGGGCAGGTAAGATGCAGGGCACCTCCAGGGAGGGGATGCCCGGGCAGGTCTCTGGGGATGGCCCCTTCACCCCAGGCTCTGAAACATCACCTCACACTCCTCTGCCACGCGGGGCTCTGCCCGCAGCACCGCAGGGCATCCGCACAGAGCCTGGCTCCAACCACCCTTTATCCCCTCCTCTCTTTTCTTTCAGCGCCCGGGGCAGTGTCCCCAGCGCTGCCATACCCCTGCCAGGAGTGGAGCACAGAGTGGAGCGCCTGCTCGGCCACCTGTGGCGTGGGCTTTGCCACCCGCGTCTCCAACCAGAACCGCTACTGCCGGCTGGAGACCCAGAGGCGGCTCTGCGTGGTCAGACCCTGCCCCGCCCTGCCCGCGGCATTCCCGGCGGTAAGTGAGGGTGGAGCTGGTGCCTCTGGGCAACGGGTTCGACAGACAAAGGGAAGAGCCAGCCAACACGAACCACGAGACCCCAACTTAAGTGCAGGCACCCCATCACCCCTCCTCAGCCTTGAGCTGAGAGTGTCTCAGGGACAGATCAACCACCTCCTGAAACTCAGCTTGGAAAACACCTGATGGCAGGTGCAGACCTGAATTTTGGCGTCTCTAGGTGTCTGAATCCAGGAGCACTCTGGAACCCACACAGGGGAGCCTGGCCTGCCCCTATGGCCAGAGATGTGCTTGCAGCTCCTGCCTGGCTCCCTGGGCACACCTAAGAGGTGGTTCTGCCACCCCTTTATTAGCCTGGCACAGCCCCAGTGTGAACATGGTGCAACACAGCCTTGCTGCCACATGCCCCTGCTCCCCAGACGTAGAGAACATGCCACATCCTGCTCTATCTCCCCATCATTCTTCACTATGCCTTTCCAGAGGGGAAGAGGAGGTCGTTTGTAGCTGTGCCCACCCTGGTTTCATCCCGGAGCCAACGCCTCATCCCGGCAAAGAGTCTGGCACAAACCTATGGCATTGTGGTTTTGGTGAAGATGGAGAAACTAGAGAAGTTTCCATCGAGAAACTAGAGAAGAACCGATGGACTTTGGCTGCAAAGGAGGCTGGAAATAGAGAACAAGATCCCCCTCTCACTCAGCACCTGCCTCCTCTGTGCACCCTGCTGCCCCAGGCAGGATTAGTGGGCAGCATTCCCGAGTTTCTTAGGCTGAATGAAATGGGAAATGGGGAAACCCTGCCCCAAGCATGAACCCACCAAAGAAGCCAGGAATTGGTCCTTTCCTGGATCAGTGGAGCTTCTGGAGAGGTGATGCTGCTCCTCCACCCCATCACACAGCTCTGCTCTGCGGGGACTGCAAGAGAAGCCATCTCCAGCACCTGGAAGCCCAAATCTCTGGAGGGAACTCTCATGCTCTGGCCCCCCAGGGAGGGAGCAGGTACATCAGGCTGCACCCACAAGTCACTGCCGTGCCAGGCTGAGCTGCTCCACCGCGCGGGAGCTCAGCCAGCCCACGATACCCGCCCCGCGAACAGCGGCTCCTCCCGGGGCACGGGCAGGGTCCTCCTGTTGGCAGCTCTAATTCACCTTCCCTGCATCCCCTCCAGAACAAACACGAGCCTTCCCGCTCCTCCTGGCCCCCTCCTCTCCCAGGCGCTGGCGGTTTTGGCAGGGCTGCGGCGAGCGAGGAGCTCAGACGGAGACACCGTCCCGCGGCACCAGACATACCGCCTGCCATCCAAGCACATTCCCTGTGAGCCCGGGCCAAAGGAAAAGCGGGAGAAAGAGAAAACAAAATCGCAAAGATGAGTCGGAGCCGCCTCCCGACGGGCTGGAGCCGCTCCAGCGGCGCAGGAGAGCTGCCGGCGGTTCTGGCTGTGCTTTCCCTCGGCAGTAACCCTTGTGGGCGACGGAAAATGAAACCCAAATGCCCTCTAACGGCCTCGCACCAGCGTGCAGAGGGAACGTTCCACCCCGCAGGGAGAGAGGGGCAGCTGCAAGGAGCAGTGGTGCAGGTGACATGTCCAGGTGAGACACGGACTTTTTAGACGTGTATTTCTGGAACTAAAAATAAAGGTGTGCTGATCAAGGTGTGGAGCTTGTCTGGGTGAGCCCAGCCCTGCTGCTCGTGGCCAGCTGGAAAGTGGCACAGGATGGGGCAGCCTGGAAGCACCTCAATTCAGGCTGCTTAGAGTGAGAAAAGAAAAAGGAAAAAACATTGTGAATCAAACACTGAACACATTATTAGAGTATATCATATCCTGGATTCAGTCATGACCCTTTGCTTTTTACCCAGCCATCAGCTCCATCAGCTCCATCAGCTCTGCCGTCGGGAGCAGCCCTGCCCACAGCCCTGCCCAGGTCTCCGGGCAGTGTTGGGATGTGCAGGACAGCACTGGCTGCCCTGCTGCTGGGTCTGCAGCCCCAGGCACAGCCCAGGCCATGCCTCTCCTCAGCCTCCTACAAATCAGTGCCCAAACCCCCCCGTGACTCATTCCCCCCTCCTGCCAGGTCCTCCTCTGCTCCCCCCAGACTGGGATTTCCCCAGCATCGTGCCACCAGTGCCACCAGCTCCTCCCGACCCAGGGCAGATACTGCGGCAGATTTGGAGGTGCAGGGGCAAAAGGCTGAAGGGCAGAGGGAGCTCTCCTCTCCAGCCCAGGGAAAAGCTTCCTCACTAGCAGCAGGAAAGGCAGCAGGGCCAAGGCAGCTGCTCACCCACTCCCCTGGGCTCTGCAAGGGCTGAAAATAAAACTGAAGTCAAGGATGCCTTTCAGTCACTTCTTAGGGGGTGAGGGGGGAAAGAAACAAGAAGTAACCTCACTGCTTGTGCAATAAAATGTTGCTTACAAAGAGAATTATTTACTGTGATCATCTGGTGCTCGGCCTGAATCCAAATAATTAATTCTGTTTGATACAGGGGATATGGTGAACCTCCATCAGGCAGCAAATCGCAGAGCAAACAGCTTTGGTTGGCTTTTTTAGTTCTGTGATGGCTCTGCCAAAAAAATGATGACACAAGGCTCATGTAGACTTTAAAACTACCATGTTCCTCGATTGACATGGATAAAACACGTTGTGTGTACTGAAAATCCAGTTTTTAAGCCAGTTCTTGTTTGAGCTTGTTGGGACTCGGCCACCAAGGCTGGGTGAGCTGTTGGCAGGGAGGGCTGCCAGGGCTGTAACCCCCTCCCAGATCCTGCCCAGCCACCTCTGGGTGATGGTCAAAATCAAAAGGTCATTTTTTAAGAAGCAACCTGTAATTCTCATCTGAAACAAATGACTCAGTGCACCTCTGCTATAATTTTCTCCTTTATTTTTCCTTGCAGAATATCACTTCTCCCCGATTCACTAAGCAGAAAACATCTAAATAATGAATTAACGATTCCAAATAAATCAGAGTTATTTTTCCCTAAGAACACAGGGAAAGCAACTCTTGCAATCTGATTGCCAGTCTCACAATATTTGCCATTCCCTCTAAAGCCCTGCTACCCTGGAAACACAGCTATTTGAGGCTCACGTTTATGACAGTCTCTGACGCAGGGTCCTGTCGTTGCCTGCTCGGGTGGGGGATCCACAGGTGATTTTGGTAACCTGCAAAGATAAAAATCCCAAAATCAGAAGAAAATTCACCCTTATCCTTAAGGCCTAAGGGCACATCTGCACACAGACACAGCACAGATTTGCCAACCACACTTCCGAGCCAGTGGTGAGCAGCAGATCACGGCTCATTTAGGCACAAGCACACGCAGCAGCTGAAGGGAAACTGTGCTACCAACATGAGCAAACAACGTGCATCAGAATTTCTTTTCCAAGTCATTCTCATGAGTGATGATTTTTAAATGCATGGAGAAGGCTGAGAAAGGGCTGGATGAGCCCCTCATTAAAGCAAAACATTTTCAGAAACTGAGCACAAGAGTGCAGCGCTCAATTAAAAAAACTAGGCCTTTTCTCAATTTTCCTGGGAGCCCATCACTCAGGTTATCTGTTTGCAGGAGCTGTCTGGGCCCTGAATTTTCACCCTGACAGCAGCAACACTGTCACATGCCAGAGCCAGGGGCAGGAGGGGAGTATCCTGATGTGGGATGCTTGGGCAGAGCTGGAAGTAGCACCTGCATTGCGAGTGAAACCACAGGCCAAGTGAACACCTAAACAGCACAGGAAGTAGGCAAGAGAGAAGAGCCATGTCACTGTGCACGTGCCCCCAACAGGAGGGCACAGGAGATGTGGAGGGCATGGGACCACAGCCAGACATGGGCAGTGCCCCCATGCTCTGCCCTGCTCCTCTCTTCCCACAGCAGCAGCCACCCAGCTCCAAGCCTTCATTGTGGGGACAGGGCAGGTTTTGCCTTCACTGCTGAGAGCAGCTCACCACCCTTCCCATGATCTCAGCAGTCCTCCCAGCCAGCTGCTGTCTCTGCCTCAGGTTCCCCAATGGTCGATGCTCTGAGACAAAGGGAACCACTCCCAGTCTGTTCCTCTCCTCGTGCTGCCCTTCCACGCTTCCATAAAGCTGCCCTACAAGTGCCACCCCAGGCTGCAGGAGCAGCTGAAGTGCACTGAGGTGAAGGGGGCGGGAGCTGGGCAGGTTGGAGAACTGCTTCCCTGGGGATGCACCCCCATGGACCCTCTTCTCTGCTGCTGCCACTCCAGGAGCACAGACCCACCAGAGGCTCTGCAAACCTCAGACAAGTTGTATCCTCACCCATGGAAACAGCTTCTGTAATCTGCCACTCCATCATGCCTGTAGTGCTGAGATTTTATTACAAAGGCAGGAAATAACAGACAGCATTTCCCATCACTTATCTGCTCCAGCAAGCACTTTTTTGAAGTCGACAAATACACTGATACTCCCAAAAAGCAGCTACCACCCCCCCATCTGTGTCTTGGGCTTCCCCACCCTGTCCCTGAACTCCGGTGTCCAAGGATGGTGCACTGGAGATGTTCGGCTGCTCCCAAGGAGGGACAGACAGCCAGGATGGCTCGGCAGGACCCATCCTCCTCCTCCCACTGGCAGTGGAGCTATCAGCCTCCTCCCACCCCCTGCTTTGATCCAGCTCCCGGAAAGCAGGTGGACGTCGCCCTTCCTGGGCCCGGCCCTTCTCACCTGAAGTTGTTTTCCCAAGGTTGTTTTTGTATGGCTTGCCAGGGTAAACCCTGCTGATTATTGCCCTCTCGATTCCCATGCTTGGAGATAAAGTTATTTCTGGCCCTGTTTATGCAGCAGCTGCTCAGCAGTGCAGTTGAGGCTGCCTTTCCTTGGGGTCTGCTTTGGGGTCGCTGGTTTTAGCTCTTACCCCAATTTCACAGTATCTGGGTGTCTTCTGTGTGACGTCCCCTGCGACAGGGAAGGCAGGAGAGGAAGGTCACAGCCCATCTTGCATGTCCTCCCCGTGTGGGTCTAAACCACTCGAAGGAGGCGGGGGAAAAAGGGGGTTTGTATTTGGGGAGGGATATAGAAATAGGCAGCAGGACCAGCTGTAGTGCAGAGACGGCTCTTCAGCAGGGATGGGGCTCACTGCTGCCTATGCTGGGGGCCGGCAGCCTGCCACACCTCTGCCTGCTGGCACTGCCAGTGCCACCGCCTCTGCCCGAGTGGGAATGGCAGCATGAGCCCCGTGGAATGCTGCCAGTCTCTGCCTTAACCCTGCAGCTGGTATTTCTGAGCGTTGGGGCCAGGAGAAAGGCTGCCAGGAATGAAGTGAGGGCAGCTCATGGGGGGCAGGCTTCCAGCCCCCCGGTCTGCAAAACTGGGACGTTTCTCCTCACCCCAAGTGCGAGAGAACAGGAAGAGGCTGAAAGCCTTGGCCCCCCTCATCAGACATCTCCGCAGCAGAGCCCCTCTCCTGCCTCCCTGCTCCCTGTCTCCCGCTCCCTTCAGGCACACACAGCACCCAAAATAGCCAGGGGGCTGTGATGTCCCTGGCGCCCGGCTCAAAATATCTGAAGTGGGCTGGTGGGAGGTGCCGAAGGAGTGGCGGAAGCCACAAGCCACCCAGGCTCTGTGCTGGGGCCGCCCTCACCACATCCTCCCCGTGCTCCGGGGAAAAGCCCAGCACCCCAAAGGCCAGTCCGGGTTCAGCAGGAGCGGGGAGGTGAGGGCAGCCGCAGCCTGTGCCAGAGCACACGGTGCTGCCAGGGCTGGCTCTGGGCACGGCGCCGCTGGAGCCAACCCTGCCGTGGGCACCGGCTCCTCCGAGCCCTGCCACCGCCTGCCCCGCCGGGCAGGGCTGCCGCAGCTCCCCATGGCTGCTGCCACGTGGCCCGGCAATGCCAGCGGGGCTCCGTGCCCTGTGGATGCCGCCTTCGCCCAGCGCTTCCTGCCCGCCGTGTACCTGACAGTGATCCCACTGGGGCTGGCAGGGAACGGGATGGGGCTGTGGCACTTCTGCAGGGGGCACCGGCAGGGCGCCCGCCAGCCCCTCAGCCTGCTGGTGGGCAACCTGGGGCTGGCAGACCTGCTGTACGTCAGCACCCTGCCCTTCCTCGTCAGCTACTACCTGCGAGGCAGAGTGTGGCTCTTCGGGCAGGGCTGGTGCCAGACCACCCGCAGCCTCTTCCACCTCAACCTCTACGCCAGCATCGGCTTCCTCACCTGCATCAGCATCCACCGCTACCTGGGCATCGTGCACCCGCTGAAGGCACGGGGCAGGTGCCAGGGGGCCGCCTCTTCGATGTGGCTCAGCGTGGCGGTCTGGGCGTGGGTCATTGCCCAGGTAGCTCCTGATCTTGCCTTCAGCAAGACTGACGGCACGGGGACGCGGTGCCACGACACGACGGGGCACAACGAGCTGCACGTTTACTTGCCGTACACCTTGGCTGTCACCGTGACCGGGTTCATCATCCCCTTCCTCATCATCCTCGGGTGCTACTGCCACGTGGTGTTTGTGCTCTGCAGGAACGACACCATGGACCTCGAGCTCAGGAGGAGAAGCATCAGACTGGTGGTTCTCGTGATGGTTCTCTTCTCCATCTGCTTCCTCCCCTACCACATCTTCAGGAACCTCAATCTGTTGTCTCGTGTCTGGCAGCTGCAAGGGTTCTGCACACAGGCTTCAAAGAACATCTACGTTTCCTACCAGGTAACCCGGGGCCTGGCCAGCCTCAACAGTGCCCTCAACCCCCTGCTCTACGTGATCACGGGCAAAGACTGCATGTCACGGATAAGGAGCATCCGACAAAGAGCCAGACAGCAGCTGGGGATCACCTTCACCAGGAACACCTCTTGCCAGGCAGATCAGAGGAAGGGGGGCACAATCCTTTGTAAGGAGGAGGCTTCTGATGCGCTCTGAGGTACCCAATGCCACCCCCCTACACAAAGGATGCACCACTTCAGCTTGTGCTTGGCCCCTTCCTGGGAGCAGCCCCCACACTGACGCCTCTTTTGCAGAGGCAGTGACTGCAGTATCATGGGCTCCCATCTCACACAAGGGATGGACAGGACTGTCGGCATTGGAGAGCAAACTGAGACCAGGTTTTAAGAGCAAAGCTACTCAACCCGACCATTTTGCCTACAGTACACCTGGAGATGGAAAGAGATGAACATCACGTTTGCTCCAGTCTGGAAATATTTCTCTCCAGCATCCAATGCAGCAGTCTAAGCTGGTTAAATCCCCCTCCTTCCTGGACACTCACCAAGCTCCTCGATGAGTGAGGGATGGGGGGGGGGGAAATGATGCCTTGTCCCCCTGCTGCAGCCCCTCTCCCCCACTGGATGTGTTTGAGAAAGGATTCCCTCCCTCTTTCGCCTGAGGAGAGGACACTACATCGCAGGGCAGCTGAGAGCGTGGTTTTTTGCAGGGGGGAGGTGCTTTAGAAA